GAAGTTGACAAGAAAGGTCTGCCTAAGAGGATAGAGATTTCTTTGTCTTCCATGATATCCATTACGACGAAATTCGTTGGGATAAAAAGTTGACCAATCCTAATTTGAACGTCTACTAGTATACCTATAGGATACTTAACTAATCAACCATCCAGTTGAAGGGACATTTTGTAGGTTGAGGTTCTCCCAAGTTTATTCTATTGCAAATAGCTAAAGGCATCAAGCTTATACTTGCACCAAGATCTAGTAGTGCTCTATCAATAACATGATTTCCTAAGACACATGGTATAGAAAAAATTATGGGGTCATTCTCCTTCTTGGCTATTTTATTCTTAGTAACAGAAATAGCAATGCATTCCATAGGTTTAGGGTCATCAAGCTTATGCTTGTCTGTTAAGACATCTTTTAAGAATTTGGCATATGATGGTATCTGGGTGATAGCTTTGGTGAAAGGTATTTCAATGTGAAGTTTTTCAATAAGTTTTATAAACTTCTTGTATTGGTTGGCCAATTTGGTTTTTTTAAGTCTTTGTGGGTATGGAATTAGTGGTTTATGAGAAGGGAGTGGTATGTAAGTTTGGTTATCTTTCTCAGTTTCTTTCTCCATAAACTCTCATTCTCCTTGCTTCCCAGGTTCAACTGATTCTTCTACTGATGGGTTTTTTGGTGTAGCTACAACGTTTTCTTTTTGTGGTTCAGGCTTCTATGTTAGATTTCCATTCAACCTAGGGTTTACAGGTCCATCATACGCAGTTCCTCTTTGCAGTGAAATATCATTAACATGGCCTTTTGGGTTAGGTTGGGGTTGTCCAGGGAATGATCCTCCCGGCGTAGCCTGGGTGGCTTACTGTTGTGCTACTTGAGAGATTTGGGTTTTTAGCATCTTGTTGTGCGTAACCGTAGAATCAACTTTGTTACCTAATTGCGCAATCAACTCATTTATATGAATGTTTTGATTCATGAATTCTTTATTCTACTGAGTTTGAGTTGAGATGAAACTTTCCATCATCTTCCCTAGGTTTTATTTCTAAGGTAACATTTGCATACACAGTGAAGGTTTTTGTGTCTGGAAACCTTAAGATCTCTGAGGTGAGGAGTTCTGGATGGTGTTATTATTTTTGTAAGAGAAATTTGGGTGATTCCTCCATCCAGTGTTGTAAGTGTTTGAATAAGTATTTCCTTGGGCATAGGTTACCCGGTAAGAGTTGGATTCAGCTATAAGGTTGCATTCAATAGTTATATGCCCTTGGGTTCCATATGTTTCACATCTGTGATGGATTGTAACGATGGTAGCTGTAGGGTTGATGACTAAGCTTTCCACCTTTTGTGCTAAAGCATCCATTTTGGCATTCATATGGTCTAGGCTACTAACTTCGTATATACCTTCTTTTGTTTCTTTCTTCCCTATAAATACTCATTCAGTTCCCCATTGATAATGGTTTTGGGCCATGTCTTCTATGAGAGCATAGGCTTCGGGGTACCGTTTTTTCATCAAGGCGCCACCGGCGGCAACATCAATGGTCATTCTTGTGATATAGAGAAGACTGTTATATAAGGTATGAATGATCAACCATTATTATAATCCATGGTGTGAACATGCTCTTATTAGATCTTTGTATCCTTCCCAAACGTCAAAAAGAGATTCACCATCTTGTTGATTAAATCTAGTTTTTTGGTTTCTTAAGATAGCAGTTTTACTTGGTGGAAAGTATCTAGCAAGGAAAACTTTCTTGAGGTCATTCCAAGTGGTGGTAGAATTTTCTGGGAGAGAATCTAGCCATGATCTTGCTCTATCTCTAATGGAGAAATGGAATAAACGTAAATGTATAGTCTTAGGAGGAGCACCATTGCTTTTAAATGTGTTGGCTAGTTGGATAAACACTTTCAAGTGTTGGTTAGGGTTCTCCATTGGGAGACCGGAGAATTGGTTTTGTTGCACGATTTACAACAAAGTGGGTTTCAATTCAAAATTGGGAGCCGCTATTGCAGGATTAAGAATACTCGGATGAGGTTCTTCGTTAGAGGGTAAAGATAAATCCTTAAGAGGTTTAATATTTTGTTCTTCAACCACCATTATATTAATTTTTGGAGAAAATGTCAAAGTCTTGCTCGTGCATATCTTTTTTGTTCAACTATTGGCTCTACTAAGGTCCCAGTACTACGAGTTCTTCGCATCTACAAAAAACAGTTCCTTAGTCTAGACAATGTAACAAAGAAGTTAAAATATTTGACGTAATTGGTCTTGACAACGACGCCAAAAAAAACTTGATCGACTATTTAGTGAGTGTAAAATATAACCGTGTGATACGGTGGCCAGAACCGGGACGTATTTCCCTATTTCATTAAGGAATTTGCTGGTTTGTGTTTTGGCGTTTGTTTTCGCAAAATGTCGCGGTAAGTAAGAGTCACCACCGACTTTTATTTTATCCAACAAGGAAAGGAAAAAAGCACAGAAAAATTCCTTTTTCGAGATATTTCTGAGTACGGGGGGTAGATTATAGAAAGGGAAGGTATTAGCACCCTTTCTATCCGTAGTTATCTACGGGCTCTTAGGTACTTGCTCATCATTTTCAAAATTGTTTTCTTTGTGTTTGTGGGATTTGAAAAGTTTGTTTTGACTTCAATTTAACTCTTGCTTCTGTCTTCAAGAGTGTAATGAAGTGTTTTTGAAAACTTTGTTTGTAAAGGAGTGTAAGTGTGAACAAACTTTGTTTGGATTGAGCAAGTACTTAAGAGCTAATCTACCTACTCGAAAAAAGAATCGTTCTATGCTTGTTTCCTTTAGACAGCGTTATCCCACTATTAGTGAGTAGGTAACACCGTCGTTGGAGTTTTGAGGATCAATTCGAAAGGGACGTAGGGTCACTAAAGCAATGTTAGGACGTTTTAGTAGTAATCTTAAAGTCTTAGATCAATTATCCAAGGAAACAATATCCGAGGCAACCTTTCTGAGGCAACTTTGATCTTTAGACAAAAGGACGACCACTAAAGCATCCTATACTCAATGACCGTTTACCGAAGGAAACCAAGTGGGAGTGTACCCTTGGAGTGTGCATGTGCGAGTGATTCAATTTCAAATTATTATCTTTGCATATTTAGGGTGATCTAACTGTTTTAAAATTAATCATACATTCTTGTCATGCATCCTATTATCATACATCTAACAGTTAATAATTTGCGGAATTTAAAATGCGGAAATTAAACTACGCTATTACAAGGCTTCGGGTATTTACATAGCCAAAAACAAACCCTTTCAAATTAAAGCGCTAAATGTAAGTAAACGTCCTAATTTAAACTATTACAAACTGTAAGCAGATACAATAATTGGGTAAAAAATAATAAAGCGCACGATGAAAATTAGATCGACGATGTTGTACCCCAATTTTTGACCTAAGATCCCATTTTTTTATTTTTGCATTTTTAAACATAAGTCAAGGTCACAAAATACGGTTGGTTTTAACCTCTCACCTTCGAGCTTTGACTATGCGAAGATTGTCAAGTGTTTTGAACATTTTTAGCCTATGTATCACCAATTTCTAATCGCATACAAAGGTGTATGTTCATGTTTTCTTTTGTTTCATGTGCAGAGACAGGTCTAAATCAAGAGCATCAGGTGTTGCGCCTCAATTAAGGTTTTGAGTCTCCCAAGCCAGAAGTACGGTTGATTGTGGATTCTCGAAGACTGATTCATCAAGGCACACCGTTGCACCCTTAATGTCGCCCCTAATTTTTTCAGTCGCACATTCATACCATATTTTGTCATTTGGTCACAATCATTAGTAAATATCTTCATTCATCATATTTTGCATCATTAGTCGTATTTAAGTTGACCAGAAAAAGTCAGTTTAAATCAAAATTTGCATCGTCTTTTAGTTAAAAAATACCTGACATTTCACTTCATGCATTTTTATCTCTTTACTCGTTTCTTGCATTGCTCCAAGTTGTTTAATAAAAATATTTTGGTTTTATAGACAAACTGTTAAAAGCGATTCTACAATGTACGAAAAATTAGCGAGAAAAATATTTCAAGTTTTCACCTTTTACTGATCATTTTATGAATCTGCATCTCGCATAGATTATGACGGTATGCTCGCTTTATTTTTTCGGTACAGTTCGAAGTCTCGTTTTAACCTTAAACGTCTGTTTAGTCTGATATTTTCATTATTATTTTATTTTTGATTTTTGACTTCTTGAGTTTTTTTTTCTTTAATCTTTGTGACATGTAGATTATTTTAATGTGTTCATTTTATTTTTTCGGATAAATTTTCGTACGGTTTTTGTCATTTTCGGTCATTTTGTGTCTTTATTTTTTATTCATAAAACATTCAAAAAAATCATTTTAAATTGAGTTTTTTTTATACTTTCAAGTTTTATTTTTATTTTTGTCATTAAAGGGCTTTTTAGTCACAAAAAATATTAAAATATACTATGCTTGATTTTCATTGGTTGTTGGATGAAATTGAGGATTGATACATAAAAACAAAACCAAAAAAAAAAGCAATACACAGTATATGTTTTTCATCCCTCTATTCCTCTCTCCTGACGCATAAGACCTCATCCTCACTTTTCCTCAAAAAAAACCAGCATCAGCATAAGCCTCCTTCTCTTCACAAATCAAAAAAACATGTAAACATTTCAAACCAAACTTTTCACAAAAATCACTACAACAATATGTGTTAGTCCCTTATCTCCAATAATCCATATCACAATACCTCATAACTATTACAAAGCTGCCATTAAATTGAAAAAGTGAACAACAACACTATCAATCATGCAAAACCAGAGCAACAAATGTGGATTCGAACAAAAAGTAATGGATCTAAGAAAATCAAAACAACCAGTGCATCTTCGCAGAGCACCATTCTAACGAGGTTGCTCATGGAAGGTGCTGATCCCTCACTGGGTCGCTGATGAAACAACTCCAATCACCACCGTCTTCCCGTCGCCGGAGTCACAACCTCCACCCTCTCCGTTTTCTCCTTCCCCGACAACCTTGAAAAATGATTCTTGACAAATATGACATTGAGGAAACTCATTATGAGGTTCTCAGTATTAAGGAAGATGCAGATTATGAGGAAATTCGTTCTAGTTACCGAAGTGCTGTACTCAGCTTACATCCCGTTAAGCTATTGAAGACATTCAATACATCCGGCAGTAACCACACAAGTACAGAGAGATTTCTCAGAGTTCAAAAGGCATGGGAAATTCTAAGCGACTCAAGCTCTCGCTTATTTTACGATAAGCAGCTGCAAAGTTCAAGGCGAGATGTATTGGCTGCTGAAGTTGCAGAAGATTTAAGCTTACATGATATGGAAGCTGAAGACGCTGACTCAGTCACTATCCACCACCATACACCCTTTCATCTATTACCCAACACACATACATAAGACACACACAACAAAAAAAAGCAACACAGTACTCCTCTAAAACTCTGTACATGCGTTGTTAGAAAAGCTTGCTTCTACAGATTTCATAGACAAGTTCCGGAGAACGAAGGTTGACGTTTCACTCTTGAAAAAGCTGAAGAACACACTGGTGAAGATTCTAATTCTACTTAATGACGATGCTGATTTCAAGGAATGGTTGGATATGGTGAGATATGCTGTCTTTGAAGTTTACAATTTGTTTGACCAAATCAACACTGAGGCGTTGCGCTGCAAAGTGGAAGTCCTAACTCCTACTACTACTAAGGTTACTGTGGCAGAATCAAAATAGATTTTGAACCTGAATTTTCCGGTGAAACTTCTTCCGTTCAACTCATTCAACTCTCTAAACATAAGCTCTGGTAACTCCCATTCCTCTCAAGCAAACACCATCCGCCAACCTTTTATTGTAAACCACCCACCACCAAATCTCCACGCTTTTCTCATTCCTCCATCAATTCCCACCTTCTCCGCTTGAACCCACCTACAGTCCATATTCACCAAACCAGAACAGCAACCTTCATTCGCTCGCCATTTATCTCTCTTCCATCTCACACACAGCCTATGCTTTTTCCTTCTGAGTTTTGAACTTTCTCTTCATCTCTTCCATTGCTTCCATAAAGGCTTGTGATAGCAGATTGGAGAAAAAAGGAATGAAAGTATCAATGAGAGTTTTGATTAAGTAACAAAAACGAGCTAGAGGAAAATGGGAGGTTGCTGTTGTTCTGCCAGAAAACATCATTTGCAAGGAACACCGGTTTACTACTATTGTCCGCCTACTTTTGAAGAGCGCGGATCTTCAACTCCAAATGATGGTACCACTGCTGTTCGCTTCTTCTACACTGTCTTCATCTCATTGATGCTTGGGACAATATGTTGGAGATTTGGCGCAAACAAGAGCTTGGAGCAAATGCCATATTAGCAGTGTCTCTCGCGGTGTGCAAAGCTGGTGCTGGAGTCCTAAAAATCCCTCTTTACAAGCATATTGCAAGTTTCGGTTTTGTGTTGTCATGACATGTAAAAAGCAGGTTTCGTTTTCATTCCTCTATTCTGTGTATTGCATTCACACTTTAACCATTGGTGAAATTGGTAGGTGGTACTGGATAGAAGTTATGGTATACAGTAGATTTAGGCCAGTATCAAAAGTAAAGAAAATGGTTAAATATCAAAAGCAACGTTTCTTGTAAAAAAATTAAAAAAAAAACTTTCCTTTTTAATTAGAACTAATTATTTTAAATTTAGAATTATTGTAATAATTAATTTTAGTTTAGTTAGTAAACTTTAGAATTTTAAATTTAATTTAGATTTAACCTAATAACTTTAGAATTTTTATTTGATTTAGATTTTAACTTGATAACTTTAGAATTTTTTTTAAATTTAATTTAGTAACCTTAGAATTTTATTTGGTTTAGGTTTAATTTGATTTAGGTTTTAATTTAATAATTTTAGAGTTTTCATTTAGATTTAATTTAATGCCTTTATAATTTCGATTTAATTTAAATGTAGTTTACTAATTTTAAAATTTTAATTTAGTTTAGATCTAATTTAATAATTTTAGAATTATTTTTTTATAACCTTAGAATTTGTAGTTAGTTTAGAATTATTTTAACAAGTAATCTTAATTTTTTCAATTTAGTTCAAATAACTTTTTTATATGATTAGTTACATTTATTTGTTTTATTTCCTTGTAGATTTTCGAATATTTGTAATTTGATGTTTATCTTATTTCGCTTGTTTGCTCAATTCCAAGGGAAATGTTTTTAACTTTGTTGACTTCATGTCATCAAATATATTTGTTACAATCGTGCGAACACCCTCATTAATTTTTTTCTATTTACTATTTTTTTCTAAAATTAAGTCGATTTTCCTAAAAGATCCAAATTTCAAACTCACACCTTTTAAGTCAAAACTTCGACACTAGGTCGTCGTATCTTCAAAATCTCTCCAACACCTCTTTTTAGCCAAACGAGCCATTTTAATCAAACAAACAATTTTAACCAAAAACAGATATTTCAAAAGGTTCCTGCGGAATACCGCAGATGCATTGGGTGCTAATACCTTCCCATTGTATAACCAACCCCCGAACTCTCGATCTCTTTTCAAAAATGCATTGTATTTTCATTACTTTTAAGTATTATTTTACATTGCATATTTTAGGGTTTTATTTCGCTCTTTTTCCCTTTTCCCTTGGAAATAATAAAGCGCGGTGGCGACTCTTGCTTTTGTGAGTCAAGTTAATTAATAGCTTGATCTCCGATTTTCACCGCTACAGACGAGAAATTAGGGTTTTGACCCTTCTAACCTAATTAAAAGAAAAGAAATGTTTTTTTTTGTTATTTTTAATAAAAGAAATAAGTTTTCTAAATTAAATATGCAAATAATTAGTTAATTAAATTAATTAATAAAAATAATTACATGACTTATTTTTGGTTTTTTGTTATTTTAGGAAAAAATAAAATATAATTAAGTTAGTAATAAAACCTACTTATTCTAATTAATTTTAATTATGTACAAAAAAGAAATCAAAGTTATCTAAATTAATCAAACCTAATTAAATTAATTAATTTTTTAATAAAAATAAATATCTGAAATTTAATTGGATAGAAAAATATTTTTGTGATTTTTTGATAAAAGAAAATATTTTGATTGGTTAGTAAATAAATAAATAAATTAATTAAAAGAAATAAAATGAAATAGAAAAGAAAATAGAAAGAGAGAATGAGCCTGAATAGCAGCTTTGGGGGTGCAAATAGTCAGATCTGGGCCCAAAAAAGATGAGGTCCACATTAACTTGTGAGATCTTGTGTTGCATGTTTGACTATGGCTCATGGTGTTCCCTCCTGGATGGCCATCATATTTGGCCTCATGACACTTGGCATGATTGATGATGAGGACGTATGGTGGACCCCTGGTTGGTAAGCACGCTGGACCCTGAAAAGGAAAATAATATGGAGAAGTTGGGGGACCTGGGATTCGAACCCAAGTCCTGAAGCAATTGCTAATGCCACGCTTACCACTGCACCATTTACTGCTTGTTGTACATAGGATGAATAATAGTAATAATATATAAAACAAATAAAATAATAAATTATTCCGCGCGAAATTTAAATGGCCAAATCAGGTGAAGCCACGTCTTCGTCTCCTTCCTCTCTCTGTGGCTAAAAGTTTGGGAACCTATACCTACGGAAAACTTCCGTTGCTACAGACCTGTGCATTCTCAAAATCAATGGTAAGCAAAATAAATAAAAACTAGGGCCACCAATTGATTCATCTGGACCTCCTGAGTGTAATGGTGGCCCTCTCATGGTCCAATTTAGCCTGCACAGAAAACTCCCAAATGGAAGCTGTAAACCCTAGCTATGGTGAAACTTCATACTAGCCATGAAAACGCAATTAAAGAATACATAGAGCTTGCAAACATGATTGTGATCAAGAATGTACATTTATTTTATGCTATATGTGCAAGAATAGTGCTATTCGATTTCAAGAAAAGAGCTATGTCGTGAGCGACTTACAGTGAGATATAGGGCTCGAAAATGCTTGGTCTTGATTGCTTTGGCTTGCTGAGACTCCCAGGAATCGATTGGGATAGGCAAAGAGTCTTGTATTGGCCTGGAAATAGGAATTCGATCTTGCAATTTTTCTTGATTTTTTGAGTTTTTGTTCTGCCTCTTGTGCCTGCCTCTCCTCTATATGTATCAAGGAAGGGATTAGGGTTGATAACTGATATCAATCTTCCTCCGTCAATGAATTGGATTCTTGATTTGATTCACTTGAAAACTTTCCAAAATTGGCCTATTTCAATCTTTTTGTTCACACCATGCCTTGATACGAATTTGATTACTTGCTAGCTGTAATTGAAGACCTGAAACAAGCACAAAATCTTTTGTTTTCAATATTTTGGATTTTATATGATTTGTTTTAATTTAAATAGAATTAATTCAAATAAAAATCAAAATAAATAATAAAAACATGATAAGGACAAGTGGCAAGGGCTAGAGCTCGTGGACTATGTTGCCAACTCAAGACAAGTGAAAAAGATTGGGCCCATTTGGCAAAATTTGAAGTTTTAGGCATAGTTGACTTTTGGCAATTTTGCAAAAAGGGTCAACTTAACCAATGCATAACTTCCTCAATTTTGACTCTTTGGATGTGTTCTTGGAATTTTTAGAAAGCTTGAGATGTCCTCTAATAAAAAAATTTGGTCTCATCTCAATTTGTTATTCCATGCTCATGTATGAAGCTTTGACAAAAGAGGTGTTTTTGTTGACTTTTCAAAATGACCTATAATGTCCAAATTCATAACTTCTTGTGAGTGCATATTTTGAACTTGGGACCTGAAGATGGATTGTAGGAAATTGCATCCTCTTCAAAATGAGATTTGGATGGGTCATTTCCGATAAAGTATGAGAAAGTTATGCTTGGTCAAAGTTGAGTTGACTTTTCCTACAAAACCCTAATTTAGCAACTTTTGAGTCTTGATGAAATATGAGAAATCCTTGATGAATCATGATCAATCCTTGATAAAATGATGAAATATACTTAAAAATGAGGATGTTGACCAAAAATATTGAAGTTTGACTGTATGTGGGCCACAGTTGACTTTTGCCCTAGCATAGTCGATTTTTGGACCTTTGAGCAATTGACTGAGCAAAATTTCTCTGCAAGGCTTGAAACTTGACATGGATGATCTTGAGATCATATTAGGACAATGTTGAGAATTTAGGATCCATTGGAGTTAAGTATCTTGATGCAACATGAAACCCTAATTTGAGGTAGACTGCCTTAGGAGAGAGCTTGTCTGGCCAACCCTTGGACTACCTTGAGCAACTTGAGGATCATTCTTGAAATGTTTTGAGAAATATGGGAGGGAAAATTTTGGGCTACAACAGCTGCCCCTTTTCAATCTTCTTAAACCTGAGGATATAGATTGGATTTCGTGCCTTTCGTGATCTGAAGGTGGAAGATGATTGAACACTAGAGTGCCCAGAAATTTGCACTCGCATGAAGTGGTGTCTGTCTCATGATATCGGGAATGGGATTACAGATGCCATTTGGAAATTGATGACGGGAGATGGGTTTAAAGATGCCATTCGAAGGAGTGTCGATCACATAAGAGATTCCTTAGCGAGAGCTTGTATACCTGTCGTTAAGGAAGATCCACTGGGGAAGGCTGATCTCTATTGGGAGAAGTAGAATTTTAGGAGCTTGGGTCATCCGTTATTCTGCTGGTGAGTCATCTCCGTTGAATTTTAGGAACTTCGGTCGTCCGTATTCTACTGAGGAATCATC